AAATTTAGTAGTTAGAGAAAAAAAAAAGAAGAAGAAGAAGAATATCCTGAATTCTAAATAAACTAAATGGCATATTACTAACTTATTCTTGGGCTAAAAAGGAAACAGGAGGCCAGCAGGTGGTGTGATGGTCAGGACACTGGACTCCCCCATGGCCGACTGCCATTCAAGTCCTGGACCTGGTGGCTTGCTTTTTCACTTTCTCTCTCTCTCTCATAAACACACATGCCCTATAGTAAATTTTAAAATAATAATAATAAATAAAATTAAAAAACTATTAATTTTTTTAAAAAAAGGAAACCATAAGACACGCTACCACCACATCAGTTAGACACTGTGCAGAGAAAGTCAGATCCCATGTGGCTGACCAGGGTTCAAATTCTGGTCCCACTGGCTTCACATTAGGCATATGTACATGCCCAGGATCCTGCAGGGATAAAAAATTGGGGGGGGATGGGAATTACACACAACTAGACCCTGTTGGGGTTCTTTCTCTCTCTCCCTCTCTCCTTCTCTCCCTCTCTTCCTCTCTTTCTCTTGTGCATGCACCCTCTGGCACTTCTATGACCCCTGATTTCAGCCATACCAGAAACTTCCCACCCTTTGGAACTCTGATTCATGAGACTCAATAAATATATCTTTTTTGCTTTATGGTGGTTTGAGTTTGATGTTTGTCATCCATGATCAAAGGAGAATAGGTGGGTACAAATGTGGAGAAGAGAAGTTCCTACACTTGTCTAATGGTTGTAGACTTGAATCCCAAGGGGAGCTCACTTAGTCTCCAAATGCCTGTTCTTCATCTAAAGAGGAGTGATGGTAATGGTGCCCACTTCCTGAAGTCATAGTGAAAATTAAGTGAGATCAGCCATGGGAAACACTTACCTGATTAATATTCCATGTCTGTCTCTCCCAGCAGACTGAGCCCCCCTTGAAGGCAGGGTCTTGCCTGATTTGTCCTCAGAGCTGGGGTTAAGCACCTGGTTTTTCACAAATGCCCAAGCCTTCACATTGATAAGAGCACCATGACTTCTCTGCCCAATGTCACAGAGCCACCACAAGCAGTTATGCAACTTCAGCCACATTTTGATATTGGATTGAATACAGGAAAGTTAGTCTGTGTATTGTTGTGTTTACCGAGTTCTTGGGCAAGTCTCCCATTGGTTAGAGGCTGGAGGGAGGGGATCACTGAATGGAGATGACTACTGGCCCCCCCTCTAACCATTAACCAGCAGGGAAGCTGGCAAACAAGATTTAGCAGGCAACGTCCTGCAGCTGACTGTACACAGGCTGGGATCCAGGACGGCAGGACTAAGCCTACAGGAGCAGCCCAAGCCCACGGGAGCAGCCCGAGCCCACGGGAGCAGCCCGAGCCCACGAGAGCAGCCCAGGCCCACTGCAGCCTGTGAGTTACACCCCAGACTGTCCCCACAGGCCCTCCAGACAAGTGAGGACAACACTCGCTTCTGGTTTCCCTGTGTTTTGATGGCACTGACTATAGGGAAGCCAGTGATGGTAGAAAGCAACCCCCCCACAGAGGATTTCCTAGAGTCTGTGAGTCACCCACAGGGATTTTGCTGTCTCTTGGGCTCCTGCCTGTCTGGAGCTGGTGCTATGGGCTGGAGCCAGGAGCCATTCCCACTATGTCCCCCACTGGTGTTCCCAAGCCCAGTGGAACAGTGTGACCTCAGCCCCGAGTGGGAGTCTAAGAGCCGGGATGGACCAGCTAGAGGCAACGCCCCTGAGGAAAGAGACTGACTCAGAGGTGGGGGCAGTGCCCGGCGAGCAGTGCAGAGGGCGTTCTCCAGAATCCACAGACCCCTCTCTGCCATGGCTCCTTGCTCAGTGACCTGGGAAAAGTAATACAGATAGTGCCAGTCTACCCACTTATGAGGTCTGAGGACAGAGGGCCTGGACCGCAGCTGGCCCGTGAGGGTCTGGGTAGACAGACTGCAGTGAGTATTTCAGTCTCTTCAGAAATGAGGAGCAAGGGGATGGACTTGAAATGCACGACTACACGGACGGGCTGTGTCTGTGTACGGCTGGGTTCTTTCGAAGACCTGTTTTACTCATCATTTTTCTTCCTGCAGAGACAGGCAGAATGACATGGCCCAGGGCCTGAAATCAGACTGCCAGTCTTTGAACAGATTCATTAGCAAGACAGATATCCCCACAAAACTTAAGAGAAAATATGTAAATAGTAGAGCCAAAAGGAAAAGAACTACTGATATAAGACAGTAATTTTAAAATAATAATGAAAGGGTATTAAATTTGAAAACCTAGATGAAATAGAAAATTCCTAAATATAAATTTTACAAACTAGTTTAAGGAGTAGAGAACTTGAAGCAAAAACCAAGTATGAACAAACCTGAAGGCCAGTGAGGGGCAATGCCCAGGTGAAAGAGGCTGACCCGAGGGTGGTGGGGGCAGTGTCTGGAGAAGCTACTGGGCTTGGGAGCCAGCTCTGATGGGTTCCTCTCCTTCCCTGGGCCTCAGTTTTCTCACCTGTAAACCGGGCCTCAGAATGCGCTATTAAGTAAGGCCACATGAGCCAGGCGTTGATCCTGGCCATGACTGACACCTACAGCAATGTAGTTAGGCAGGTGAGGGTTTGGTTTGGTTTTGTTCTGAGAGATTTTTGCTGTAGGGCACGTGCATTCACCAGCCAAAAAGTGAGAAATCACACCCCCCCCCTCCCAGGGGGATGGCCCTGCCGCAATCCCTTCTCCATTCTCCTCTAGGGATTTTGCGCGCGCACACACACACTCAGGGAGTGTTCCACACTGCCAAGTTCAGGCCACAAACCGCAGTCAACTGTATGGGAGTCCAGCACCTTAACCACTACACCACCTCTGGTCCCAGCAGGTGGAGAGGATTAGTACAGGAAGGGATGAGGTGCACAGTCACCCCAGAGACAGCAGGAAGGAAGGGAAGCCCTCCCTGCACAAGACTTCATGCTGCACAGGGTTCTTGCCCAAGAGGGGGTCACAGATGGGGTGGCAGTGACCAGGACTAAGCAAAGAGTTTACTGGGTATAAAAGGGTCAGCAACAGAGAAGTTCAGAAGGGGGGCTTCCCAGAGGTGGTGATCGGGGACCAGAGTGTCAAAGGTCAAAGGGGAGTAAGCCAGGCAAGGCAGAGAGGGGACGGGCCTCGAGAGTGGAACCATATGGTGCATGGCCAGGACAGGCCCATCTTTGTCCCAGTCCCAGCCCAGGGCCAGGTTCAGCAAACACTGGACACTGAAATGACCTACCCTGCCCTGATCCGACCCTGGAAGAGATAAACGCCTGATACGTGCTGAGATAACCCCGCCACCAGTGTTGCTGTAGCTGCAACTGTAAGGGGCCAGGTTTGAAACCGAGGGCAAGGCTGTCACCAGGGACTGGGTCATGGGGATCCTCGGGTCATGTTAGTACAATTTGGCTTCATCTGTGGGCAATCAGGAGCCACTGAAAGCTTCTCAGCTGGAGAACGACTGATTGGCTGATCCACTTGAAGTTGAGAAGCTCAGCTGACTGCAGAGGGGAGGCAGGGAGGCCAGGCAGGGACCACTGCCGAGTGCCAGAAGCGATGGAGAGCCCTTAACTGGGCTGCGCGCTGGGACTGGAGGGGAGTCAAGCCAGGAAGAGCAAGGCTAGCTGCGGACATAGCTTCGGCTCCTTTTACGCTGAGGAAACGGCAGAGTTTAGACAGTCTGCCCCATCACTAGTTCACCAATAGCAGCACTGGGGTCCTCATCCAGCTTGGCTACCACAAACCCATAAAAAATTGTCCTGAGAACCCAGAAATCCACGCCAAAAGCTGATCTGGGGGAGACTCCAATAAAGCCCAGCAGCTAGGAAGGAGTAGGGGCAGGGGTCCCACCTACATCTATCATCAACATAGAGAACTGGGGGACTCAGAGGAGCCAGCAGGGCTGTTTTTCTACCACCCACACTGAACTGAGGGAGACAGAGGGAGTGTGGAAAGGGCTCCAGGAGGCTGGGGGGCTATTTGCACCTGTTCGCTAGAGTTTCTGGCGAGTTTTGGAATAATGCCAGAGAATGGCTTTCCAGACTGTTCCAGAGACCAGTGGTTCTCATACTCAGAGTGCACCTATTAAAAAGACAAACTTCAGAAAACTGTAATAAAATTAGCAGAGTCGATTTGAGCAAAGAATTGGGCAGCTTCAGGAAATCTTCAGAGAGCCCCATCCAGCAACACAGGCAGGCAGTACTGGAAGACAGAAAATGAAAGTAATGTGTAGATGTAGCTTGGACACAGTTCAAGGTTTGCTTTATTTGAACCTACTGGATGCCTCAGACTGGCTGAAAGTTCAGCTGCTATGATTGACCAAGGCTTGGCTTTGCTACAAGAATGTACTTTTGAGTCGAGTTGCAGTTTGTTAAATATTAAATGAGGTTACAGTTCACTACATATGGAGGCAACTTTGGGCCAAATACAGTTTAATTTCATAATTCCCCTTGTTTGGTCGGCCTCTTAATTTTGAGAGATTCACTAAAACTTTGGGTACTGCCACCACTTTCTGTCACCGTCATAATTGACTTCTTTGGTCTCAATATGGAATTCACAATTATAGCCGTATGGAGATTATTCCATCTGCAGAGGAGGGCCGCATGTGAGTATTTAAGATTCTGGAGGGGGTACAGACCGTCAGGAAAACTATTATGATGGCCCTCAGGAGAATAATACCAAGAAACTGAAGTACGCTCCTTAACAAGAGTTTCCATAAACCGAACTGATGAAAATCAACTCACGATTCAGGTAATAGAGATAACTCAACAGTATTTGAGTCCAATCAGTCTTAGTCTTTGATTGTGGCATGGTGCCAATTGAGGACCATCATTTACAGTTAAAATAGTATTATTTAAAGGTTTTCTTTTCTTTTTTTTTTTTGGAGGTTTTTGCTATAGAGCACATGCACTTGTCAGAAAGACAGAGAGAGACAGAGACAGAGAGACAGAAAGCGAGAAATCACCTGCCAGGGAGGATGGCCACACCGCAACCCCTTCTCCTCCATTCTCCTCTCAGGATCTTGGGCACACATGCACACGCGCCTGGCCTGAGTTTAATTAAGCCACTGGGTCCGGGACTTGAACCACAGTTGACTACATGGGAGTCTAGCGACATAGCCATTACACCAACTGCTGGTCCCAAGGTTATCTATTTTTGCAGTTAGCCTAGTAACACAAATATAGTGACCCGGACATTTAAATGAAAGAAGCGTAGACTGGAAAACTGGAATTGCCAAGTTTGCCTTCTCCATTCGGGATGCCTGCAAGCTAGTTGATAGCTACTCTCATAAAGGCATCTTCCCCTGAGAAATGTGTTCAGGTGTCTGGTGGCAGTGTCTAGAGAAAGAGCAATATTTTAAACGAGGCTTTCTGTAAGAGTAAGATCAGAGAAAAGGTAAGTACTGCATTCAGTTTTGTCAGCACCGTGCATAAGCCCCCAACATGGGCAAAGAGGAGATCTAAACCTTTGTGATGTTCCAATAAATATTTTTGTTCAACTTAAATATTCTCATTCACCTTTTGGAAAATGGCTTCTGACTGTCTGAACCGTTTGGAGAACTCATTGGCTAGCAAATCCAAGATTTTTTTTCCTAACGTATGAATTAGCTTTAAATTCCATTCATTTGGTGCCCTACGACTACCAAAAGTGAACTCCCAGATACCCCATGGGAATCTTTCCTTAGTGGAAACTAAGTTATCTGTATCTATTTTGTGGTGGCTACTAATTTTCAGGATTGGTCACTTCGGTCTCTGATTATGGGAGCTATAATGGAAACTCTCTGGGGAAGCTACCCAGAAGGCAGGAGTGAGCCAGGCCAGATAGCAGGATCCAAACCAGTGAGGAGGCAACACAAAGTAATGTAAAACCTCCTCAGACCAGATATAGGCTGTCAGAGGCTGGAAAAGAGGGCCCCCTAGTGGCATATGAGCATAAGTCTGTTACATTTGCTCACCAGGAAGTCTGCATAGTTCCTGAATGAGGTCCAGTGAGAAACCTACGTTTTTGGTGGTCATTTTACAGCATATAGTAAAGGGAATTATGACCATATATAATAAGAAGGGACCTTACTGAACTGAATACACTCCTGGAATCTAGCAAGTTTTAGATTTAGAGAAACATTGTTCCAAAAGATTCCTGTCGGAGGCCTCTAACTAGATCAAATTCGGTTAATTTTTTTAATCAGTTCAATCCTGGATCCAGTCCAGAAAACATTGCTCAAATAAATTGGAGAGCTCTAAACACAAATCCTTGGGGCTCAAATTAAATAGAGAACTCCCTCATGACTCCCATGCTGCAAGAGGACATGGAGCCCAACGGACTCTGCAGAGACCTTCCCTCGGTCACTTCATGCTGTTGGAGCTCACTGGAGGGCTGTGTCACATCCCAC